ACCTAGATGGCCTAAGGTTTGTTATCCTTGTTATTCTTTGAGTTATACATAGTTAAACTGTTATGATAAACATTCAAATTACATACCTGCATTTTAATCAAGTTTACTCGCGTAGAGATTCATGTAACATAACATTAAATCTATTTTTAATCCTAGCCGTATGCATTCTAAAAGTATATAAAGGAGTTCAGTGTGGGAAAAGGAGAGGCACTATATCATTAATAACATGGTCAGAAACTTCAAGTTCTGTATCCCATACATATACCAAAAAAGGAAGAAAATGGAAATTTGAGTGCATCTGTAAGTAATAAAAATGTTTTCCTCTATCTGTCATGATTACTCATTGCCACCCCAGTCAAAGTCCAAAGGAACTTTCAATGTACGCTACACAGCATTAATTCCATCCCATCCTTCCTTTGCTTTTCCCACACCCATTCCAAAGAAGTTCATGCTGTTTGGGTGTAGCCAAGAAAATCTATTAGTATAAGACACTAGTGATCAAATGGAGCCTTTGCCTGTTTTTGAGAATTGGGAAAACTGCCTGCAACAACATTGCTTTAGAAGTGAGGGTGATTATTTGTACAAGTCAGAAGTGACTTCCCACCCCCCCCCCCCCCCCCCCCTCCTCCAGGCTGGGGCCAGGACCCCTTCCCTCCACCCCCCCACCGCCCGCTGTTTCAGACTAAATTGTCAGAACCCTAATTTGGGTAAATGCTGATTCTATAAGAGGAACAGTGATCGATAAAAATCTGCTTTTGCCTTTTTCCTTTGTGTCACTGACAATGGGGAGGTTTTTATTACAAATTTTACATGATTTGTTTTCAGTAAAATAATTATATATTTTTTTATGATTTGTAACGAATTAATAGATTTCAGATTTACAAATTCAGCATGCATTTGAGATGTAAATACCCTTTATCTAGCACTTAATGGGTGCTAATCTACAGTACACCCAATAAGTTTATATTTATTCAATAACCATGAAGCCAATGATCATTGGCTTGTAGCATGTGAAATATTTAGGTCACAGGATTTTGCAGTATTATATTCTTGGAATAAAAACGTAAGTGGGATAATAATTGATGGATGGAAATGCAATCTCTGTCAGGAGGTAATGAGCTTTTTTTTGCTTCAGGGCTAGATGAAAGGGCTGACAAGACGTCCTTGCCTGGAACCTCTGCTGTTTTAATATATCTGAAAATAATACCATTAATTTTGTACTTCATGAGGCCCATTGGTTCTAATATTAAACAGAGATATAGTTAGAAATAAGGCCAAACTTTTTTTAAAGGACTACCAATATATCCATCCAAATTTCCAGACAAAGGGCATCTTTACATGAAATTGTGAGACTGCTGCTTCTATGTTTGATATTCCGTTGGATCACAAGAAACATTGGAGGCGCATCTGCTGCTGGAAAAAGTAATTTACCTTTTATGAATTGGTTATAATTTCACTAATTGTATTTCGTGGCTCCACACTTCTAAATGAATTTACTGAAAATGTTTAGCAAAGTGATTTTTATTCTAATCATGAATAAAATGTGTAAGTATATACAACTACGTAAATCAATTTGCTGTGGTAAACAAATTTTATAGTTTGATCTAGGCCATTTTTCACAAAGAGCTAGTCCAGTTTTGGAAACTATAATTCATTTGTATCTGTAGTTACCTAAATACAATAAACTTTCTTTTCCAAGGTGCTATCTTCTCTTGGCTTGTGATCTTGGTGATCTTGTGATCTTGTCCCCAAATGCCAGGTCTATAATAAAAGAATTGTTTGAATAGTAAGCAATGGCTGAAACAAGTTTCTTTCTCTTTCTCTCTTATACTTCCCCACCCTCACTTCCCATTTCAAAGAAGTTGTAGACCCATTTGTTAGATAGGATTTGGTAACCAACTTAAATGTCCTTGGGATTCACTTGAACACTAGATCTTTCACACAGTACTGTTACAAACATCAAGTTTTTCTTTGACTTTGCTGATATAGGATCAATATTTAAGAAATGTTTCTTGTTGTGGTGTATAATCTAATCCACAAATACTAAATATTAAGGTATTAAGTACTAATAATATACTTTAGACAGTGTTCTTGGCATGAGAGGAATAAAATACAGTGGGAGTCAAAATTGATGTTCCACACCACCTTGTTTCCAAACCACCTTCTCTCTTTAGTACTTTCAGATACCATGTTAGTGTAAGAATGATGCTGTAGTTGTGATGGTCCAGAGATTATATGAGAGAGAAGGATTTCTTAGAGTAATATCTTTCATTGGACCAACTTTCGTTTTTAGCTGTATTGGTCTTCAGACCTTTGGTAGACAAAATTGTATAACTCAGAAGCTAGGAAGCATTATGGTAGTTAGAAGGTTTGGTGGGAAAGACAGTCAAGATACATATTTGTTTTGGCAAGGCACTCAACTATTTGAATGCATTACAAAAACTGGCATTTGAATCTTTACCGTTTGAAAAAAAAACCAAGAAGGAATTTTCAAAAGAATAACTTTTCTTGTTAGACTTACAGTATCTTTTACTTCTGGCGATGCGAGAAACAGCAACAAACAACCTTTCCTGCAGAGTTCAACTAGTTTGGATTTTGATTTCAGCCAAAATCAGGAACTGAATTAATTTAGACCCCCCCCCCCCCCCCTTTTTTTCCTCCACATTCAACATTTATTTAGCCCCCCCCCCCCCCCCAATTTTTCCTCCTAATATTAACATTTTTGGCAAAAGTTTGGTTTGTTCCTTATTTTTTCCAAATCTCTTCTCACTCTTGAGTGCTGTGCTCAAATCCAGTGTTTTCTGTTTTGAGAATAAGCATATTTCTATGGGCCATATTTGCCAGGTGATGAAATTTCAACAGACACATTTTGAAATATATTTTAAATATAATTAAAGATAATTGTACTTAATGTTTACACTTTTTTCCTCCCCTTTAGAGCAGTGTTTGAAGTAACAGCTAACACTTTTCTGGCAGTATATGTTTTTATTTTTCTCTTAAGACTGAGGGATGGGTTTCATGCACTTTTTTGGTTTCTTTCTGTGGATAACCAAGTTATCAATTAAGCTGTCCCTGACAGGAAGACAGGACAGGCTGGCTGTTTTTTCCCCATGATGATGTGGAGTGCATTAGAGCTGGCTGCTTCACATTACCTCATTCATGGCTGTGCATCTCACACAGTTGAATGTTGTTACTTGTTGTACTGTGTTGAGAGATCTTGTACTTCATGCCACAGCACTGCTGAAAGTTAAAAATGAATTTATTCCTCTCACAATCTGATCAATAGGATATTTTTGTCTTCATGTGACTGAGATCTCTTTGTTACACAAGAACAGTCTGAGCCAGTTGTGTATATTCACAACTCAAATGTACAGAATTTATTTTGTAGGGTGGCACGGTTGGTGTTTTTGTCTTTAAGCCATCTAGTAGCAAAGGAACTTAAGTATTAGTGGTGGTAGGATGAGCACTACCTTAGTGCATTATCTTAACAGTATTCAGATTGGATCAATTTATGGCAAGCAGTGAAGTTGGCAATATAATAGAAAGAAGTATTGCATGATGCATGAGAAAATTGGGATAAAAACGTAGTGCTCACATTGACTTAAGCTTTCTGCAGCTATCAGCATACTATGTAGTGTATACTCATAGCACCATGAAGTTAAACAAAAAGTTGCACTAGAGTTATGTAATTAATGCCAGGTAGAGCTAAGTGTATGAATATGGTCTGTGATTGCAGACCTCTGTTCAAAGAGTTTGCATGTCTGCTTCTACAGAGCAAACCATCAAGCTAAGTGGTTTGTGTTTCAATAATATCTAGTGTGCATGTATGCAAATAGTGAATGACAGCCAGTTTATAGGCCAACTCTGTGACTTAATATCAGTAGTGACACACAGAGGGTGCATGGGGTTGCATGTGCACCCCCTGAGAGTGCTGGTGCATTCCCTGACAGCCAGCGTTCCCCGCTTAGGGAACAGGCAGGGGGGACAGGTGAGAGTGGAAGTGCCAACAGCGTGATCTGCCATGGTGTCGTCCGTCCCCCCCTGGTCACTGACTGGCTGCTGTGGGGGGTGGGGAAGTGCCTCCCCCCACTGGGACTTGGGAGGCACTAGTCGCCCATGCTTAATATCTTAACAGAAATGAAAGTGGTAGCAATGGCAGACATCTTCTCAATGATCAGAGGGAGCTCAAGTTGCTTTGGGCAAGGACAATAAAAATAACTGTGAAGTTTACAGTCAACCTAAAGCTAGTTGCTAGTATTTTGTTCTGTCAATAAATACATTTCACCTGGATGATCAGTTTGGGAGGAAGGGGAAAACAGTTTATGTAGACTTGGAATAGAACATGGAACTCGAGAGAAGTGCCTTTTTGGTCTCTTCAGACAAAACCAACCTTTGGGACATTGTGCTTCAGGAGACATTTGTGCTGTTCCATGGCATAATTCAGTAGGCACACTTTCATGTCTGGCCACAATAACACTGTCATACTAATTTGTCTGTGTGATTTTAATTTGTAAAACTTTTTCTTTTCAATTTTATTTTTATTATTGTTCAGTGTATCCAAGTGATGATCTCTTGTTTCATTCTGTTGTTTCTTTGCAATTGAGACTGACTTGACAGTATATCTAGTATCTGATGGAAGGGATTTCCAATTCTGGAATTTGCTTCTTCCTTGGTTCAGAAAACCCTTGTCATCCTGCAAAGTGTGTTGCAAATCCTATTTGTTCTTTCAGGCTTTTAATAAGGTTGAGGGGTGAGTTGATAAGTTTTTGCAGATTGGACAGGGTTTTGGTTATTTTTTTAAGTTATAGTGATTTGGGTATTGTAAATGTTTTGCAGGCTTTTGTAAAAGTCTAGAGCATCTTAGAGAAGTGTGCTCTACAAACTAACCATAAGCAGTGCTTGGTATACCAGTGTCAGCTTTTGAAGAGGGAATAAAATTAAACAAGACTTTGGATTATACCAATAGCTTCCTTTTTCATGGTTCATTATTTATTTTCTAGAAAGCAGAGTTGGCCTCTGATAAAGACCTATACCTTGACAACAGCTCTGTTGAAGAAGCCTCGGGAGTCTATCCTATTGATGATGATGATTATTCTTCTGGGTCAGGCTCAGGTAAGGCATTTTATCAGTTAATAAAAATATGGAGAAAGATATTTAGTATTATTCCATATGTACAAGAATAAGGCCTTGTACTAGAAAACAGTGCTTCAGTGGAAGTCTCAGGCATTTGGCTCTGTATATGTGGAGTCCTCTGTATCTTTCCAGATCTTGTCCTTATGTTTTGATCTCATGCTTTTACTTCCCTACTCAGAACATGAGCAGATGTTCATTTCAACAGGTGGAAATTTATGAGAAAATTCCACTTGTGGAAATCTTTCTGGGAGAGGAATTCTATGGGGATTCTGCCTGCAGCTGGTTCCTCTCCCCTGCTCTCTGCACCTTCACCAGACCAGCTTAATTTCAGTCTGGAGAAGGCAGGAGGAGCAGTGGATGCTCTAGTCCTCCTGTTACACAGGGGGAGTGGAGCAGTGGGGAAAAACTCCTCATGCCTTGCCCAAACTGGGGGCAATGCCCAGTTTGGGGTAGAGGCAGGGACCAATGGTGGCTTTTCCCCTCTCCTCTGCACTGCTCTGGAGGAGATGGGTACAGCAAACTAAAGCCTCCAACCTGTTCCTCAAGCCAAGCAGTGCCTGGCTGGAGAAGGAGGCAGGGAGCAGTGTGACAAAGTCCCTCACCCACATCTCAACTCAAGGACCCCAGTTGGGGGAGTGGGTAGGGGGCTTTGAATTGCTGTTTCAGTCCCCTTCTGGCCTGGTCCAGGGGACCGGAGCAGCAGAGTAATATTCCCCACTCCTACCCTCTCACCTGCACCCATTCCCCTGATCAGACAGTCTCCAGGCTGCACAAGAACAGGGAACATGGCTCTGCTGCTTCACTCCCCTCCCTGAAGGGAAGGAGAGAGATTTTGTCTTGCAAGGGAGATCTTCCAAATTGACACCTGGAAGATCTTTCTCCTGGAAGTGGCATGTTTCCCCTCAGAAAAATTGAATGAACACTTGTATGCTCATAGTTTCTACTGGGAGAATGGTAGAATGCCTTTATGTGGCCTCAGTTCCCTGTATTTGTCTCTCCAGTTCTGGCAGTGCTGTCTGGAGTTTGGAAATAGGTTTTTGGACAGGCTTTCTTTTCCCACAGTAAATTTGAATTCTAATGTTAGTAATATCTTTATGAAAGTTCTGAGGTTTCATTTATTTTGGAGGGTTTGTTTGGGGTATTTTTTTGTAGATGCTCATTCAAATAAATACTCTTAAATATACATTTAATCTCTTCTGTAGAATCTAGGTTTTGTTGGATAGAACTGATAACTTACTTTGATGTAGTCACATCAATTTACAGATAAAAGAAAATAAACCTAGTGATATTTAATGTGACCTGTCTGCAGTGATGCATCATTAGATTGTAAGCTGGGTAGGTGTCAGCTTTATGAATTGAGTGATGAGGAAAGGAACAATTATCCAAGTGGGAATTGTGTCACTTGACAATACCCTAGATATCTGTATTGGGGACCCATTTTATTTGGATCATTTAGTAGAGTAAGGTATATGGATCCCATAGTGAGTTTTCTTCCTAGTTGCAGCTTTATAGACAGAACTCAGACTTAACAAGCAGTGGCTCAGAACAATTCCTTCACTGTTCAAGGGACTTTGTCTAAAGCTGTAGCTGAGATATGGTTCAGGACTTTTGAGGGGGTAGGGTAGGAAGAGATGATGAGGTGGCAAAGAGTCTTGGTTTCAGACTAAAACAAACCTACATGTTATATTTCTGATTCAGTTGAACTCCTAGGTCATGTCCAGACAAGCACGGATGTGTGGTATGTGGTGCCGCAGACCTGTCTGCAGCACCACGCACCGCGCATTCAGGTGTTCCCCATACTGCTACCTTGCAGTGCATGGGGAAGGGACCAGAAAAAAGCAGGGCAGTGCACATGGCAGCAGCATGTGCTGCCCAAAACTGGAGGAGCCTGGCTGGCCAGAGCCATGTCCTAGCCACTGGCCAGGCTCCCTGCTGCAGGAGTGCTGTGGCTGCAGCTCCCCAAGGACCCCAGGCCCCAGGTAAGGCTGCTGAGGCCAGCAGAGTAGCTGCCTTCAGCCTCCCTTACCCCACCTAGGGTAACCTTCAGTGCACCAGTGTGCATGGCACAGATGTTCCCTGGGCACAAGTAGCAGCAGCACAAGGTATGCTGCTGCTACTTGTCCCCGGGGAAACAAGCATTCCCACTTGTCTGGATACACCCCTAATGTTGCTAGATCTGCATTAAACTTTGACTTGAGGTTGGGACCAAATCTCTTGATTCTTGCCTTCTGTCTCTTCCTGAGATTATACAGTAGTATATTTCCCCACTGCTTGATTCTAACATGGCAGGGCCCAACCAGTGATTGGATGTGTTTACACTTGTACATAAGCCAAGCTCAACTGTAAGGAGACCTAATTTTTTTTAATGCCTACTTGCTACTGAACATGTGCCAGTGAGTGTAGTACTACAATAACCTGCTGAATTTATTTATTAGATTTATATTCTGCCCTTCCCAAAAGAGACCCAGGATTTCTTACAGTAGAAAGCAGATAAACTGTAGAGACAAATAAGTTATTAAAATAAAATAATATGTAATAGAACAAACTTCTTAGGTAGTTCCCCCAAGCTTAACTTTGTCTACTTGAAGACCTTCCCAAACAAAAAAAAGTCTTGCAGTGCTACCAGAAGACATCCAAGCTTGGGCTGTATTGACTTGAAGTGTTCACAGCTCATTTCTTTGGTGTTTGTACTTCTCGTTTGTTAGAAAAAGCAAATTATTTATACATTTAATTTTGTTCAGCATATGCTTTGACATGTGTGAACACACATACCAATATTAACATCAGCTACTTCTTTTTGCTCCAGTTCTACAAATGCAAGTTATTGAATACAAAAAGGAAATGTAGATTTTTGTTTGAGCTAACCATCTACAATTAATTTGTTAGTGGATTTTTGTGTATAAATCAGTTACAAACTAAGGAGCTTATTTCGGCCTGTTTGGCCATTGAAGCTATACTGCAACATCCCATTAAGGACTACCTTGCAGATTCACCAACCTATCAAGAGGCCTTGAAAATCATTGAGCAGATGAAGAACAACAAAGCACGTGGCCTATAACAGAACATCTGCTGAAATGTATAAGCATGGTGGAAAAATGCTCTCTCACTATGTGTCCTTCTCCTGAAAATCTGGACACAGATTCCCAGTGACTTTGCATGCCAGAATTGTAACCATATACAAGAAAGGAGATGGATTGGATTTTGGCAATTACTGTGGCATTACGCTTCTGTCCATAGCTGGGAAGATCATAGTTTCATAGTAGCTAGGGTCAGGAGGGGCCTGAACGGATCATCTAGCCTGACCCCCTGCCACGGGCAGGAATGAATGCTGGGTTCACAAGACCCCAGACAGGTGATCATCCAACCTCCTCTTGAATTTGCCCAAGGTAGGGGCGAGGACCACTTCCCTGGGAAGTTGGTTCCAGATTTTAGCCACCCTAAGTGTAAAATATTGCCTTCTGATCTCTAACCTAAACCTGTTCTCCATCAGCTTATTACCATTGTTCTTTGTCACCCCAGGTGGTGCTGGGGAGAAAAGGGCTCTGCCTATTTGCTGTTGATCTCCCCTGATGAGCTTGTAGGCAGCAACTAGGTCCCCCCTCAGCCTCCTCTTGCTGAGGCTGAACAGGTTCAGGTCCCTCAGTCTCTCCTTGTAGGGCCTGTCCTGCTGCCTTCTCACCAAGCGGGTGGCCCTCCTCTGAACCCTTTCCAGGCTGGCCACATCCCTTTTGAAGTGCGGTGCCCAGTAGCAGATGCAGTACTCCAACTGCGGCCTGACCAGTGTCGCATTGAAGGGGAGTATCACCTCTCTGGACCGGCCTTAGTCAGGTCAATGAAGGCCATGTAGAGATCTCAGTGTTGCTTGCAGCGCTTCTGCCGCTGTCTAGCAAAGAAGATCATGTCTACCATACCTCCGAGTGGCCTGAAACCATGTTCAGATTTGGGGAAAATCTCTTTGACAAAGGGAGTCAGTTGAGGGGAATGAGGATAAGGATCTTCATTTTTTGATTGAATCAGATTTTTGTTTATTTTTAAGATGCTTTAAAAAAAAAAAAACAACCTATGTAAAGATGGTTTTAATTTAAGAAATATTAGAGCTCAAAGATATCATCATGGAATAGGGATTATAATTTCTAATTATATACTATTGGAGGCAATATATTCATGTAACCTTTTTAGAAAAGTTTTATACAGGCCATGGACTATATTAAGGACCCAATCTTACAGGATTTCCAGAGGCTTCTCTATAGGTTAGTAAAGATTAAAGAAAACCAGTCAACCCAATGGAACTCGGTGCTCAATCTAGAAGATCCCATTAAGCATCTCTGTGATGCTTAGTTTCAGTTTTCAACTGTGGATTGAGATAACAGAGATAACATCCTTGTTAGCAGTATATGGAGATGAGAGATAACCGACCTGATTACCTATCTTGAGCCCTGTCTTTCTGCAAGTTTGTGTACAGAGAGTCAAGCCCTTACTTCTCTCTAAAAGTGCAAACTTTCAAGATGTTAAATGAATACTGGATGAACATCTTGCCAGGGTCGTTTGACCCCAGTACTCTTTCCTGCCATGGCAGGGGGTTGGACTTGATGAACTGCTCAGGACCCTTCCGACCCTACCAACTAAGAAACTATGAATAGAGGATTGTTGGGGGTGGAGTAGATCTGGGCAAAGAGGAGGAGTTTGGAGATAAATGCGAGGAGTTTGGAGATAAATGCAAGGAGGGGTAGAAACAAAAGAGAAACATTTTGAGCAGACTATTCCAGAAGTCTTGAGAAAGACGTTTCTAAGTATAGCCTCTGTATTAATTTTAAGATCTAGTGAGGGAATGGTATGGTACAAGGGGAAACCTGTCATGGCAGCAGGTTTGCCAGGCTGTGAAAGATATCCTGTTTCACCCTGTCAATATTTTAATGAAGGTTATATCAAACAACAAGAATGCACTTTTTGTAGAAAACAGTGATCAAGGTTTCCTGATC